AAAAAGATATTCTAACAAAAAAAAAGACTTATACAAATGAATAAAAAACAATTACAATATTGTAAATCAGAATTAGAAGACTATTTAAACATAGGATTGATTAGACCATCTAAGTCTCTTTGGAGTTGTACGAGATTCTATGTTAATAAGGCTTCAAAACCATAAAAAAGAGCCTTAAGATTAGTAATTAATTATAAACCATTAAATAAAGTTTTAAAATAGATTAGATACCATATACCTAATAAACTAGATTTAATTAAAAGATTAATAAATGTAAAAATATTTTCAAAGTTTGATACAAAATCAGGATATTATCAAATATTAGTAAAAAAAAGAAGATAGATATAAAACTGCATTTGCAGTTTCCTTTGGACAATACAGATGGAATGTAATGCCTCAAGGTTTAAAACATGTTTCTAGTAAGTTTCAAGAAATTATGAATAATATCTTTTATCCTTATATGGAATTATCAATAGTATATCTTGACGATGTATTAATATTTTCAAAAGGAATATAACAACATATTCAACATTTAAATAAATTTATAAATTTAACAAAAGAAAATGGATTAGTAGTTTCAGCTAAGAAAATGAAGATATTTCAAGAAAAAAATTAGATTGTTTAGATTTAAAATATATCAAGATACTATAACACGTAGGCAAAGATCATTAGAATTTGCTAATAAATTTTCAAACCAAATAAAAAAAAACTTAATTACAAATATTCTTAGGATGCCTAAATTATATATCATACTTTATTTCAAATATCAGAACAATATGTGCCCCACTATATAAAAGACTAAGAAAGAATCCACTGCCATGGGTTGAAGAAATAACAACCATAGTTAAAAAAAATAAAAACTCTAGTCAAAACTCTTCCATGTTAGGTATTTTACATCCTAAAGCCTCTGAATAGTAGAAACAAACACTTCTGATTTAGGATATGAGGGTATATTAAAACAACTATTGCCTAAAAGTACTAAAGAACAAATAGTTAGATACCATTTAAGGATATGACATCCTGCACAAAAAAATATTGTATAGTTAAAAAAGAAATATTATCTATAGTACTTTTTTTACAAAAATTTCAAGATGATCTTTTTAACAAATTTTTTTGATAAAAATTGATTGCAAAGAAAATCCACAAGTATTACAAAAAGATGTTAAAACTTGATTTCAAAGCATATTTTTGCCAGATAACAAGCTTTACTATCTAACTTTGATTTTGAAATTGAACATATAAAACTTTATCATGAAAAAGACGGGTGTATTCCATTCATACCAATAGAACTAGAATGGTTCTCCACACCAAGAAATGAAATTGCCAAAAAAAAATTCCTTCTAGGATGTCATTTTATACCATCATCTTCACAACAAAGAAGAGAGTTTTATGAACTAATTCTGGTAAACACCCAATCTATCAAATTAACACATCTCACAGATCTAAAGATGCAAGAAATTGTATTCTCAAAATTCAAGATATTAAAAATCTTGACAGTATAAGAATGAGGGCAACCCTTATTCTAGTATAAAAATCTTGAGCATGAGGGAACTTGGGAAGAGTGCTTGCCTCTGGTAGAATTCACGTTCAACAACAGTTACCATGCTAGTATTGGAATGACACCGTTTGAGGCCTTGAATGGGCGGAGGTGTAGAACTCCGTTGTGTTGGTATGAAACCACAGAAGTGACTCTGTGTGCGCTAGGTATGATCCAAAGGCAGAATGAGCAGATCAAAATGATTAGAGATAACATGAAGGCTGCCCAAGATCACCAAAAGAGTTATCATGACAAAAGGAGGAAGCCGTTGTAGTTTCAGGTGGGTGACCATGTGTTTCTGAAGTCTCGGAAGCTATCTCCTAAGTTTATTGGGCCGTTCAAAGTGCTAAGTAGAATTGGTCCTGCTGCATATCGGATCCCGCTGCCTCTTAATCTCTTGAATCTACATCTAGTGTTCCATGTGTCACAGCTTAGGCAATATGTGCTGGATTCTTCCCATGTGATTGATCTTGACCCGGTTCAAGTAAGAGAAGACTTGTCGTATGATGTATACCCGGTGAGGATTGCAAATCACCGTGTTAAACAGCTAAGGGGTAAAGAGATATCATTGGTGAAGGTAATTTATGTGCGAGGTTAGTTAAAGGAGGGGAGAGTTGTAACGCCCTAAATTTTGTAATATTAATTATTGTTATTTATATAAATCTAAATGTGTATATATATATATGTGTGTGTGTGTGTGTGTGTGTGTGTGTGTGTATAAGTGTAAATGAATGTTGTAAATTTGCATCGAATGTGTAGTGATGGTGTTTTTCTGTGTAATGAGTATGAATATATGTGTGTGTGTGTGTGTGTATATGTTTGTATGTATGTATGTGTGGAGGTATGATTGATTGGATTGGACTGGTTGGGCTGAAAATAGGCTAAGTGCCTAGTGCAGAGAGCTCTTGCGGTAGCGAGAAGACTTTCGCTGTAGCGAGAGGGCTCTGGAAGGAAAGGGTGAAACTGTCGCCTTCTCACATGTCTCGCTATAGTGAGAGAGTCTCGGTGTAGCGAGATTCTACAAAAACCAGAGTGCAGTTTCATCTGAGATTTTCGCTGTAGCGACAGAGGGCGCGTTGCAGCGAGAGATGCCTCGCTGCAGCGAGAGTGTTGCGACTAGAGAGGATTTAAAGGGATTAGGGATCGGGGAGATTTCATTTCTCCCTTCTCCTTCGAAATTCCTCTGATCCCTTCACTCCCAAACCCTATTCTACCGATTATATTGCCTCCAAAGCCGTTTGTGAGCTAGATTGAAGGTTAGATTTAAGTGGGGAACGCTTGGAGGTGAGTTTTAATGGTTAGGGTTTCGATTTTTCACCCTTTTCTCTATTTTCGTGGTTTCTCGGGGTTCTCATGGAGTTTCTCCATGTGTTTAGGACGAAATCTGTGAGGGGGAGCACTTCTTGGTGGATTTAGCGTGTGGGACTTTGATCTGAGCTAAGGGGGACTGTACCCTATCTCAATGTATTGAAATTCTTGTGTGTTTCAATGAATAATGCAATGTGGCTGAGATAGAGATAATGAATTGTGTGTTTGATAGAAATTGATGTGCAATGTGATTTGTGCTGGAATAGTTAGGCCCTGTGGGGGTGATTGTGTGTGATAGAATGTCATTGATTGGTAAATTAATGTTATTGTGAACAAATGAAGGCTATGTGCCGTATATTGTGGAAAAAATGTGGGCTATGTGTCGTGTAATATGAATTGAATATAGGCTATGTGCCGTGTGTGAGCATGAATATTGCGTATGTGAATGAAATATATGCGTGAATGAGGCGTGTTAGCACCGTTATAATGTGCTATGGATGGTTCAGCGATACACTAGGGGTGTGGAAGATGAGGACGGTAGAAATACCTTGGGGAGGAGAGAGTGGTGGTGACACTGACTGTGGAACGGGTGCACCACGAGCCACACACTCTCTTCCTGACTAGACCTCTGATCATTACCTTTGCTGAGTGACCCGTGATTGCCCACGTGGTATCCGTGAGGCGGGGGTAATTGACAACCATTCATAGTGAAAATCTGTTATCATAGTGCCACGATAAGCGTGGCGGCCCGCCTTGAGCGCACGAGTGTGCATGATTGATTATTGCATTGGTGTTGAGTTAAATTGAAATGTATGAAATGCTATTTATGTTTATTTTTGAGTAAAATAGAGGCAAGGTGAAACTCTATGCTTGTTGTGTTTTGAGTAGTGCAGAGTACTCACCCTTACATTTATTTTTTAGGTAATCAAGACGATCAGCACCAGGTTCAGTGAAGGGACGGATGGACTACTATAGGACCTAGATTTTATTTTGAAAAATGTTGTAATTGAACTAGTCCTGTAACAGTTATTTGATATTAATTTATAACCCTTCTCTTATTTTGAAATATCTTACAAAAATTGGTTATTTGAATTTGCAAAATTATTATTTAATTGAAATTAAATTTAAAGTGTTACATAAGCTTGAAAGATTATGATGTATCTTAGACCAGCAACCCATTCTGGGTTTATCTGGTTTAAAAAAGGAATTTCTTCCAAATTCCCTAAATGGTTTCATCACTGGTACCATGACTGTGGGGGAGAAATATCAATATTTCCTGGACCAGCTAAAACAGCATTACAATATTTTAATCAAACTACAAACTTACTTCCAGAATATTAACTTTAATCTTTTGTTGCTAGTCTTGGAATAAAGTGGATAACAATGTGGGAATATGATTCTGCTATACTTCATAAGCACAAAAGTATACAATTATTATCATGAGTTGTAAAGATAAAATGGTGGGCTAAATTTAATCTTGATCTTTTAAGCCGCCAAAAAATAGATTAATGGTTGCAATCTCAAGGGAAAAATCCATCACAAAAATGACCTTTGATTCTAGGTTATAAGTATCCCACAAAAAGCTCCATTATATTCGAAAAAAGTAATCAAGAATAATTTATAGCACAAAAAACTAGATTAATGGCCAATCTTCATGCTACCAACTCAGAAAAAGAGTTTAATGAGATAATACAAAAATTATCTCCAAAAGTGTTTGAAGTTGTCTCTAATAATACAACAATAGATCCACCTTAAATTCCTTACCGTGCACCATCGTTGAACACCCCAAACACACCCATGACATCATAATCGGTTTACCTGTTGGGCTAGTTACCACAACATTACAAGGCAGTTCAGTCACATACAAGTTCAGACTCTTCACACAATCCACAGATATAAAAGAGTGTGTAGCACCCGAATAAAATAGCACATCCAATAATCGGCCCTTAATTACACATTTACCTCGGATCAGCTCTTCAGATTGTGAAGCCTCTGCCCCGCTCATAGTAAAGACCCTACTAGGAATGCTTCTCGGCCTCGTGTTCCTTCTTGATTCTGGCCTTTGAGCTGTACTTGAACTGCCACTCCTCTTAGTGGCCCAACACACATTGGCAGTGTGCCCCGACTTCCCACAATTATTACAAGTAATCTGTGGCTATAGGCAGTCCTTCACCATGTGTGGTCCTCCACACCTTAAGCATTTAAGCGGTCCTTTAAAAGAGCCCGTTCCTGAACCAGAGCCAGAACCGGTATCACTGCTCCTCTCCTGAGATGAAGTCCCTCTGGAATGTGAACGACTAGAACCCAAATACAGCCCTTTGGAGAATCTATGGGGTGTTCTATCTTGTCTCACTGGCCCGGCTCCCCCAGTGTCCACTGTCTTTCCCTTTGAGTTAGCTTCAAAGATTCTACTCTTGCTCACCAGAATAGGCAAGTCTATTAACTGGAACACACTAACTGCAGCTCGGATGTTTGGCCTCAGCCCTTGCTCAAACTGAGCACACAAGTCCTCCTCACCATACCCATGTTGGTAGTGAGGCCAGTACTTCATCAGCTCTTGGAACTTTGCTGCATATTCTCCCACTATCATGCTTCCTTGCTTCAGTTCAAGGAATTCATGGGCTTTCTGCTTCCCCAGATCCCGGAGAAAGTAATTCCCTAGGAAAATTGCCTTGAAGGTCTCCCACTGAATGTAGTCACCCTCTTGTGGCAATGTCTGACTGGCAAACCTCCACCAGTCTTCCACTTCCCCACACAGCAAGTAGGTGGCATAGCTCACCTTATGCTCCTCACAGCACCCCATTGCATTGAAAACCTTCTCAATATTTGCCAACCACCTTTGAGCTCCCTCGGGGTTGAATCCTCCTTCAAACTTTAGAGGATTGTGCCTAGTGAAGGCAGACAATTCTCAGTACTCAATCGGCTCTCTGCCTTGGTTATGTACCAAGGTCTCCAGAATTTGAGTCATGCGTTCCATGAGGTCATTAGAACCTCTAGCTCCTCTACTTTACCTCTACCTTTACCAGCCAAGTTCAATTTATTGCTACAATAATTTAGCAGACACATTCCAACACATCAGATCAATAATACATTTATAATTCAGGCAAACAAAACAATCAACACTTAGCTTGGACACTTCAGCCCGTTACCCAAGTCTGGTTTGGATGAACTGCTCTAATACCAAAATTGTACACCTTAATTTAATTTTCAAATAATAAATTTTGCAAAAATAAAGATATTAAAATTTTTTATTTAAATAAAATTCTCATCATATGGTTTCACAAAATATTTCAAAATGGAGGAAAGGGTTACAAGTTTATATAAATTAACTGCTACAGGACCATTTCAAATACAACATTTTTAAAATAATATCCTAAGCCCTATAGCAGTTCCATCCATCCCTTCATTGAACCTGGTGTTGATCGTCTTAATTACCTGAAAAATGAATATAAGGGTGAATACTCCACATTATCCAACACACACAAACATAGAGACTCACCTTAAATACTACACATTTACTGACATATTTAAACCATGCATTACAAGACAAGCATCTCAATATCAGCCACAATCATCATTCATCATTTATTCAAATTTAAAACATAACTGGTGCACTCATTGCACCAATATTTCACACACGTGTGCTTACTACACCTAGCCACGCTCACTGTGGCACTGTGATCACAGTTTCACACCATGAATGATCGTCGGTTACTCCCGCCTCATGGATACCATATGGACAGTCACGTGTTACTTAGCAAAGCTAGTGATCAGAGGTCTAGTCAGGAGAAGAGTGTGTGGCCCGTGGTGCACCCACGCTCTTTGTTGGTGTCACCACCACTCTCTCTTCCCCAAGGTATTTCTACCATCCTCATCTTCCACACCTCTAGTGTATCGTTGAACCATTTACAACATCATTACAACGGCATTCAATATGCCCCATTCACACACACATTTCAACCACACATATATTCATTCATAGCACACGGCACAATATCCATAGTCATTATTTCACGGCACCTAGGCCCACATTATTCGCACACACAGCACAAGTGCTCACACTCATTCACAGTATAAGGCCCACAGGCCCACATTAATCTACCATACGCGACACACTTGTCCTTTTACATAATTCAAGGACACACAAACACACCTATTAACCTATATTGGGCTCAACCATTCTACTCATCACATTTAACATCAATTCCCCCTAGAAATTCACTCATAATTAGCTTTTACATTATCAAGTCGCACCCACTACACATTATCCATCAAAATACACAATTTTATAAATTTAATCTCAATCACATTACAAAATCATAGCAAATAAATAGGTTTTCAAGTAAAATGAGATACGGTAAAGTCCCCCATTACCTCAAATAAAGACCCACACAAAAAATCAGCAATAAGAAGGCTCCTCACACAAACTTTTGATCTAAATACATGGAGAAATCCCATTAGAACTCAAAGAAATTGAGAAATCAGAGAATGGGGATGAAAAACTGAAACTTAACCATTAAAACTTACCTCCAAGCTTTCTCCACACGAATTCAACTTTAAATCTAGTTCTGGAATGGCTTTAAAGGCAATTTAATAAGTGGAATAGAGTTTGGGAGTAAGGGAATCAAAGAAATCTCGAAGGGAAAGTGGAAAATGAAGCTTCCTCAAACCTTAACCCCTTTAAATCCTCTTCTAGTCACGACACTCTCGCTGCAGGACCTCGCTGTAGCGACACCCTCCCTCGCTACAGCGAAAAACTCAAACAAAACTGCACTCTAGTTTCTACAGAATCTCGCTACAGCGAGACTGCACCTTGAAATGCAGCCCAAACTATAGCTTTGTCTCTACAGCAAGAGACCTCTCACTACAGCGACAAGGCGACAGTTTCATTCTTCTCTCCTAGTGCCTTCTCGCTACAGCGTGAATCTATTCGCTACAGTAAGAAAGACATAGTTTCATGTCTCATGCCTAGGGCCCTCTCGCTACAAAAATTTGGGGCATTACGTAGTGAAGTTCCAATTCAAAATTAGAAGATAAATTAAGCTTAACTTTAAATGTCAAACTTAAAGTTATCTTCTTTTATATTTTAAAACTGTTGGTAATCTATAAATATGAGACTTATCATTATTCTAACTTTCTCCCTCAAAAGGTTAATTAACCTTGATGTATGACATGCATTTTATTTTTATTTTTAAGAATCACTTTTTCAAAATAGGTTAAACACGCGTATGGATCTTTCACTTTCAATTATTTTCCTCCCATTAAATCTGCCGTCTTGTCCACATCCTATAAATATTAGATTAATTTTTATCGGCAAATTTTAATTAGTACTAAGGTACTGATTAAGATATTAAAACTAAAATCATTGTTAAAATTATTATTAATATATTTTTCTTTAATTTTTTAACAATCTTTCAAAACTACTAAATAATAAAAGTTGTTTTCCATTTGACCATTTGGTGGCATGGTATTGTGCTCGTTGCCAGAAGTACTTTCAATGAGCATGTGATGGCTTGGTATTGGGTTGAATTGTTGAGTTTTAAACCACAAAATAATTTTTGTACAAATTCGTATGAAATGAAACAGTAAATAAACACGTGAATTCGTATTTTATTCATAGAAAATTAATGTCCTATAAAGCATTACGGTTTTTCTAAAATGATATGTAATTATACGAAGTTTCTTTGCTGTTGCAAATGCTATAGATGTCAATTTATTAAATGTGTTACACTTAATTTGTATGCATTAGGCCAAAAAATTATATTCTAACACGTTATTAAAATTAATAATTAATTGTTGTAATAATTAACAACATAGTAATAACACTTAATGCACATTAAGTGCATTAGTTTTGGCTTACACTTATCCTTTACTCATTCAATTAAACTAAAGTTTCAAGATTAAATCCATCTAATTACTCGACAAGTTGTTGGGTGGTCAGATAAATGATTTCATATTTTGAAATAGATTTCATATATGGGACCCTTTGATAATTGACATTATGGTAGTTCAGTAATTCAATTGGTAGGGATTAAAAAATGGTAGGTGTGTTATAAACACAGATTTCTTCTACCTCAATATATCACATGTTTTATCTATCCATCAATTTCTCATAATTTTTATTTTTCTAATCTTTCTACTAATTAAACAAATAATAATAATAATATATTTTATATTTTTAAAATAATAAATACATGTATATATGTAACTAATAAAATATGTAGGAAGATACAGTAGTTATAAATTCTCTTCATTATTTCTATAAGTTTTCCAAATTACAAGATGAAGAATTAATTTTTTACAGTTAAATTAAATTTTTCATCCTTTTGGCTTAACCGAAATTGTATGTGTTTCTTCTTCTTCTTTTTTATTCAATTTAAACATCTAAATTTAAGTTTCACTTTAATCTTTCAATTTTTTTGATTTAGTTACCAATAAGTTATTATTTTCAAATAAAATAATCATTTAACATTATTTTGTCTTTTAATTTAATCAAAAATTTCAAATCACTCTCTTCTTGAACAACATTTTTTCTTATTTTACAATTTTTATGTATTTTAATTTTAAAATTATCATCTAAAACTTTCAAATCAATATTAAAAATTATTTAATCATGGTAATTTATTATCAACTAATTTATTTTTTCTTTTTCTCTGTTTTAATATATTTAATGATCATTGTCAAATCATCATTTTTCATCAAATTTTATATATTTATTATTTTCATTGTTAATCATCTTTATTGTTAACGCATATATATATCAAACATTAAAACATCCTCTAAATAATTAAAAATTGAAAGATGGAGTAGAGTTAGAAGAAAATTTTAGAAAAAAAAATTTAGAGGACTAACTTGAATTGAAAAATTAAAGGAACTAAGTGAAATTTAAATCAAACATAAAAGACTAAATTTCACCTAACTTTAAAAAATGAAAAGTAAAATTTAATCTTTTTTTTTAATGTGTGTCCATGTAATGTGTCTAAAAACACATTAAAATTTTTGTTTAAAAATTATAATTTAGTAGATTGGTCCTTTAATTATTGTATTTTGAATTTGGCCAATAAATTTTTTTTCATATATGTTTAATATGTTTTATATCTGTTACAAGTTAATTCTTTTTAAGTAGGTAACTACTGTTAATAATATTTTAACTATATCTTACATTGATGATGTTAATTTTAACTAAGTTGTGTTTAAGTTTATAATTTAATGAATATCTAACTTGATAATGACAAAATTAAATTTTTAAATGAAAAGTGTTCCTGTTAGAGAAATATTAGTCTTCAAGTCTCTACTCTGAAACAATAACGTCCTTCTGACTATCGCTGACGTGGGGAGGGTACCTGCAAAAGGCACTCCGATGCTGAAGTCAGGATTCGGTTCTAAGTAATAAATGGTATTTAATAATAAAAAGTCAACCTTTTACCTGTACTTCCTACATTCTTTTTATAGGCTTTATTATGGGCTAATGGGCTTGATGAGTCAGCCTTAATTTTGGCCTTTTTGCTTAAAGTAGATAATACTCTAATTATTAACCTTAATCGAGTTAATTACCTCTTAATCTTGATACCAAGGTATCCGGCCAGACTGGGCCGAATAGGTACTTGGTTTCCTTTTCTTATATGTAGAACCGAGCAGTTCTTTGTCCAGTACACTAGCCCCCCAAGCCCGAAGAGGTACGATGTAAGGGCTAAAAAGATACAAGTATTAAGCACATGCAGACGAGGGGATACTCAGTTTGGTAGGTGGTAAGGAAGACCAAGGAAGGTATTCGGTCTTTAGGAGTGTAATTTAGCCGAATAG